TGCAGTATTCTATCATATGCAAACTTATATCATTAAAAGCTTATACTGACTACTAAGTACAATTTTCCATTGACAACTGTTGTCCTATATTTGTGGGGGATTCCAGCTTCTCAACACTCCTGTATATGTTCTCAGTTGGGGAAAGGTTCAACTCAGAGAAAGTTTATTTAGTTATTCTGTTTATTTGGGGGTGAGCACAATTACGTTTCTGGGATCTTCTTACCTGGATGATTGACCATGCATTGAGACAAAAATCTCAACTAAATCTTTAAAATCCTCTTTTTATACCAAAATAAAATAATAACGGTGTTTCAAAAGTATAAAAAAAAGTAGAAAGTACAGATATGTGTCTGAAAATGTAAGCAGTAGGCCTAAAGCAAAAAAACTGCCAGAAAAATAAATGATTAAATAAATTAAGATACCTGAAAATTCTACGTAACTGCTGTTACTTCTCACCTCTGGTTAACTAAAGGCACCAGCACACCATTTGGGATGGTTCTGCCTAGTTTAACCCTTGATTTGACTTGTTGGTCCCAGAAAAGTTGATATCGCTGTTGATATCACTCACTGTTCAAAATAAATGATAGCAGCATTTTGCATAATGTGCTATCCTCCCATGTATTGAAAAGTCAATGCCTGGATTAATCCATGTTGGTGTGTATTTGGATAGAATTGTATGAAGTGCTTTCAGTCAAGCTAGCAGAGCTGTGGCTATGATGAAGTTATCAAAGCACTTCATTCTCCGAATGAAAGCTTCATTGTGTTTCCCAGATTTCTCAAACATAGAACGGTAAGCTTTAGTGATAAAGAATTTCTTGTCCACTGGCCTTGACCACATACTTTTAGAGAAAAAGAGTATTATTATAGAGTATTTTCACTCTTCAGCAGCCAGTGTTTTTGTTCTGGTTTTGTTCACCAACTTTCTTTGTGTTTTTCTGCTCAACTCATTCCCGTCACCCACCCCAGCCACAGAAGGTTCTTGAAAGGAGGTTTTGCCATACAAGCCTAGGCTTGACTGTTGGAATCTCAAAAATTCCCTGGAACTTTCCAGTGACGCACACTCATGTGACTGTTCAGACGTTAACAGATTGTTTTCATTTGCTCTTTTACATGAGGACAAAAAAGACTCTAACTTAAGGTGTCTGTCTGTTAATATTTTTAAGACTGTCTTACTGTACAGGCAGGTTCTCTGGAGTTAATTTTAGAACACTATACACTTTGAATATGCTTTGATTGAGAAACAGTCAAAGCATAAAAACAATAATAATAAAAATATATATATATAACATAAAACTGTGCAGGAACAAGTTTCAGGTGTACAAGAATGGTTTCTGGGGTAAAAAAAAAAAACTATTGCAGAAATGGGAATGAACACAAAACTTCAACCTACAGATATTAGTTGAAAAAAATGTCTGTAATATGATACAGTAAGGTAAGTATATGATAAGAGTAGGAGGGACTTGGCTAAAGCTGTATATATGCAGTGGTGCTGGTGCTCAAGTTGACAGTCATCATGAAAGCTGCAGCTGCCCCCCTGGTGATCTTTTTCTTTCATTTCTGCTCTTCAGTACCTGTGAGCCGTCCAACAAACTGGCTCAGACAATGCCGTGCCTCTGTCAACCTCTCCATCACAGCACTGGAGGTGCTGCCAGGTGGAGGCTGGGACAACCTCCGGAACATGGACATGGGTCGAGTTATGAACCTCAGCTACTTCCAGTGCCAAACTACTGAGGACGGGCTCTACCTTATCCCAGATGAAGTTTTTGTTATCCCTCACAAAGAGACAGGTGTGGAGACCAGCTCAGAAATAATCAGGTCCTGGCTTGAGCAGAAAAGCTCGACCTCTGAAAGCATTAATGCAGACATATCCTTCCTCCCAGTTCTCAATGGTAAATTTTCTAGTGAGAACAAGAGAATGAAAACCCATCAGGTCAGAGACTCTTCAACCACAGCCAGAGTGCAGGTAAGTTTATCTTCAGATGTTTTAGTGTAAAATGAAACACAAGTGCCACAGTTGGGGTACTTCTTCATTAAAGCACTTTTAAACATTTTCTTTGCGTAAGAAGTACTCTGTCTTTAAAATTTAGTTGCTAAAATATGATAAATGGCATTACATATTTTTTCTTTATTAGTCTCTTTAAACCAATGAATGCTAAAAATATTTTTTGTGTTAGGAAGAAATAAATTATGACATTCAAGATTTATTCAAAAAAAATATGGCATATGAAAAATTAGTTATATATTAATGATAAAAAATACAGCAGTTAGCAATAATAATATTGTAATCCTCTCTTTCAAAGGTTCGTAACTTCCTCTACACAGTTAAGGCTTATCCAGACTTCACTCTGGACACACGATTTGTTCAGCAAGTCAGAGACATCGCTGATGCAATTGAAAACAACCAGACGAGAAGTGCAGACTATCTCTCGGAGATGATGGTGCTGGACTATGGGACTCATGTCATCACTAGTGTGGATGCTGGGGCGGCTTTGGTGCAGGAGGACTATCTCCGTTCCTCTTATGTGTCAGACAGCGAGTCAGAAAGTTCTTCTGTTAAAGCACAGGCTGGATTAAACTTCTTTGATAAGCTGAAGTTTGACATTAGCAGTCAAAGTGCCCAACAGAGCTCATCAATTCAAACATATCAGTCCAACATTACATACTCTCTCATTCAAAGCCACGGAGGTGCACCCTTTTATCCTGGCATCACTCTGCAGAAGTGGCAGGAAAGTACCAGAAACAACCTCGTTGCCATCGATCGCTCAGGATTTCCTCTGCACTATTTTATAAACACCAACACTCTCAGTGATCTGCCACATCCTACGATTAGAAAAGTTGCTCTTAAAGTCAGTCAGGCTGTAGAGCGCTACTACAAGATCAATACTCGCCCTGGATGTGTTGATGTCAACTCCAAGAACTTCAACTTCCAGGCTAACAAGGATGATAATTCCTGTGAAGGTCCCGCTACAAATCTTAGTTTTGGTGGTGTCTACCAAGAGTGTGTTAAAATCAGCTCAGATGCAGATCCACTATGTGATGCCCTGGCACAGAAAAACCCAGATACAGGTGCCTTCTCCTGTCGTCCACCTTATTTACCAACTTTACTCAGATCAGAGGTGAGACAACAAAGCTACCCCAAGTATGAATGTTACGAGGAAAGTTATTCCTGTGGTTTCTTGTGGTTGTCAACCTGTTACAACAAACGGTGTCAGGATGTAAACTATGTTCGTTCTGCTCGCATCAACACCTACTGGTGCTCTATAAATGGACAAGCTCCAGAAAACTCAGGATATCTGTTTGGAGGTATATACAGTCGCTCGCTCCTGAACCCCCTCACGAAAAGCAAAAGCTGTCCCCCAAATTTCATTCCAGTAAATTTTTTCTCAGATGGTGAGGTGATCTGTATGAGTAATGACTATGAGACAGGTACCAGATTCTCAGTACCATTCGGAGGTCTCTTCAGCTGTCAGTCAACCAACCCACTGGCAAGTAATCAACGCAGGTGCCCTCCCAAGTTCAGTCAGCACCTTGCTGCAATCAGTGATGGCTGTGAAATCCTCTACTGTGTTCAGTCTGGACTGTTCACAGGTGGAGAGCTAAAACCCATCCGTCTGCCTCCGTTCACCAAACCTCCACTTATCAGCATGCAAGCCACCAACACAGTAATGGTGATGACTGAAGGAGAAAACAGCTGGGTGAGAGTGGGCCAGACCAAGAAGTGGAAACTTGCCAAACCAGAAGAAATCAAGGAAATTGTTCAAGGCCTTAATCCTGAAGTCAATCAAATGTCTAATGGAAAAAAGGCAGGTGTAGCTTTTGGGGTGATGGGTATAATGCTGATTGTGGTCATAGTGGCAGTGGTCCTATTCAAGAGGAGGAGGAGGATGTCAGGGTTCAGATCTAGAGGTTATGAGGAAATACGTGTTGAAGTAGAGAGGGATTCACAACAAGATGAGGCCTGAGAACAGAATGTAGCTTAGAGAATGGCCAACAAGATACACACATTAAACTGGTGCAAGGGAATCTGACATTAATTTCTCT